ATAAACCCCGGTGAGTAGAATGAACATACTATAAAGTAGTACCCAGCTGTGCCCATACAGCTCGCTGCAGTCATCAATGTGCATTTTTTTTCCTCCTGTAACTTTTTTTTTTAATATTACCTAACACTCATTCCCTGAGCATCATCACAACATACTAAATGTAGTTTCCCATCTAGACAAACTGCATAGTGACTTAATCAAGCATGTTATCATCAATAATATTCCATTTCTACTTTCATACAATGTATACATATATATATGTTTTTTTTCATTTTCTTTAAGAATGAATTTTTTGTGTTCTTAATGAAAGAAAGATTTACCTCCTAAAAAACAGAAAGAAAAAAATTTAAGAATATCCAGTAAGTAAAATGGGGGTTATTTATGAAGGGAATAAATGACAAACTTGCTTTATGGACAGTAAGAAAGTGTTTTGTTCTTTTATTACTATTATGCACATGCACTCACCAGAGACAGAGAAAGACACAGAGAGAGGGAAAGTGAGAAAACATCTCCTAGGAGATTTGGCCATTCTCCAAACCCTTTTCCCCCATTCTCTCCTAAGGATTTTTGGACATACACACACTCATGCACAGTATTTTTCAAGCCTACATATCTGAGACTCCTGTGCAGTTACCTGTGAGACCCAGCCGCCTTAAACTCCATACCATCTATCTGCTGGCCCAAGAAAGCTTTTGAAAGAATGGTTGTGCATTTGGTCTAGGCATATAATTCTCCAATTTTTCTCACTATTCCTTTTTATCTTATATTTTGTAGCTGAATTACACATTTAAGTTACTTGCCTGCCTCTAACAACACAAAGATTGTGATTCCTTACATCAAACAAGATGAGCCTTAATAAGAAACCAAAATAAGGGGCCAGCAGGTGGCATAGTGGTTAAGGCACTGAACTCTCACATGGCAGATCACACTTCGAGTCCCAGACTTGATGGCTTAAAAATCACACCAGACACATGTGCGTACATGCCACAAATTCCAGGAAGAGAAGGGATTGTGGCATGGCCATCCCTCTTGGGGAGTGATTTTTCACATTCTCTCTCTCTGTCTCTGTCTCTCTGGTGAGTATATGCATCCTATAGCAAAAATATCTCTCTATATATATAAAAAAAATACAAATTCTTGATATACACATAGAAGTTCTTAATGTGGCAATTCTCAAATATGCTGGTCCCAGGATCCCTAAAAGTTACTTAAAATCCCAAAGAAAGTTTCTTTATTTGGATAATATCTACTTGCAAATATTTAAAAATAACAATAGGGTGGCCCCATAACCCAATGGCTAAGAGAACCAGAGCCCATACGGCTGACACTGGTTTGAACACTAATCCTGGTCATTTGAACAAAAGGTAGGTGCATGTGTGTGCACGGCCAATCATCCTGACAGGATGAGGAAATGAGTAGAGACTGTGACATGATGAAATCCCATCTGGAGTTGCCTTCTCTCTCTCTGTCTAGATGACTGTAATAATGAATTCCATATTTTAGAATGGAAAAATTAAAAATTAAAAGCAAAGTTATCTTAATATTATGTTATATTTCAATATAACTTGTTAAAATGTACTCTCTGTACAATTGTATTAATTGTATTCCCTGTAACGATACAGACAAGATAGTCCCCAAATTTACAAAGTATGGCCAAATTTAATTCTGAATTTGGATTATGAATATTAGGCTGTCAGAAAAGTTATAATGTACTTTTTCTATGCAAAAATGCATCATGACTTTTCCAACACCCAACCATATTAGCTTATTGTCTCATTATCACTCAGATAAAACATAAGAGAATCTAAATCTAGCATGACAAAATCATTTACAAATTTGTGTATCAATATATTTATTTGTATACTCATATCATTGTCCTCTGCGCTATTTTATGTCAAGGCAATATCTATGTTTGATTTACTCACCGTGGGGCAAATTCATCAATTGTCAGGCCAGCTTGGAGTCCAGTTCGACAGTACTCTAATCCATCAGCTATGGTGTAGGCCAATTCCAGAATGGCATCAGCCCCTGCTTCCTGCATGTGGTATCCACTAATTGAAATTGAATTAAATTTTGGCATGTACTGTAATAAAATAATTTTTAAAGTGAATAAAAATATTACAATCTTTGATTAAACCATTTTTCAAAAAGCAAGTATTATTTTTACAATGTTAGCTAAAAATAGTTAATTATTATATTTAATTCACTCTCAGTTTAAATGGACAATCTGTGAACTACCATGTCTATATTTTTCTGTGTGTGTATGTGTGTATATATATATATATATATATATATGCTTGTGTGTATATATATATATTCATATATACACATTATAGCTATCTTATATATGTACATATATATCTATAAACATATACCTTACATTTGTAAATATTTTATTTATAACTGAAAGCTCTAAAAAGCTTCTGTCACAAAACCAAAAAGGGGATTGCAACACATGGAACTGAAGACCGCTTGAATATATTTGGGGTTTACAAATAAGCAGCAAGGAAACAAACAGGTGCTTCTCTTCAGTGAGGAGTTTAGGACCAGAATTTAAGAATAACAGAAAGACTGGAATAATGAAGTATCAACCTTAAACAAGAAGGAAATGCTGACACACTGCTAAACATGGATGAAATGTGATGACATTAAGTGAAATAAGCCTGTCACAAAAAGACAAATATTGCATAATTCCACATACTTCAGATTCCTGGAGAAGTCAAATTCTTAGAGACAGAAAGTAGAATGGTGGTTGCCAGGGGCTGGGGCAGGAGGGGGAAATGGGGAATTATTGTTTAATAGGTAAAGAGTGCCAGTTTTGCAAGATGGGAAGAGTTCTGGAGATGGATGGTGGTAATAGTTACACAACACGAATGTAATTACTGGCACTAGAATTGTATGCTTAAAAAACTGCACACACAAGATGGTGGCAGAAGCCGGAGGGTGCTTCTGTGAGATGGCTGAAGCCATATGAGTGATCCAACCTACACAGATCAGGCACAGCGATGAAGGCCGGGGGTCCAGGATAACTGGGAGACTAGGACAGGAAGATTGCTCCACAGTGAGATCTTATAAAATTTAAAAAAAAAAAAAATACCATTTCTCTTTCTCTCCTATGCCTTTTCTCTAGCATGTTTTTTCTCTTTTTTTTTTTTTTTTAGAAATTTTTGCTATAGTGTGTGTACACTTACCAGAGAGTCAGAAAGAGACAAACAGAAAGAGAGAAATCACCCCCCAGGGGAATGGCTATGCCACAACCCCTTCTCCAATCTTCTCTCAGGATCTTGGGCACACATGCACACGTCTAGTGAGAATTTTAAGCTGCCAAGTACAGGACTTGAACCATGGTCATCTACATGGGAGTCCAACAATGTAAACATTACATCATCTGCTGGTCCCTCTCTGCATTTAAAAAAAAAAAAAATTGGTTAAGATGGTGATTTTAGGACCAGCCAGTAGTGTAGTGGTTAATACAGATGGATCCCACATGGCCAGCCAACTGCGTGTCCCACAACTGGCAGCTTGGAAAAATACACCAGATGCATGTGTTGCTTGCCTGGTCAAAAACCAGAGGAAATGGAGGAGGAAGAATTGTGGTGGGGAAGAAGAAATTCTGGTATGGAATTCCTGGGGATGCTTTCCCACTTTCTCTCACTTTCGTTTTCTTCTCTATTTGGAGCACACTTGTACCCTATAGGAAACAAAATTATTTTAAAGATGGTGATTTATGGAAACCAGCAGATGGCGAAATAGTTACATCGCTGGACTCCCAACCGTGGTTTGAGTCCCAGACCCAGTGGCTTAAAACTCACCCTAGGTGCATGTGCATGCATGCCCCAATTCTCAAGAGGAAAATGGAGAAGATGGGATTGTGACATGGCCATTCTCCCTGGGGGGGTGATTTCTTATTTCCTGTCGTTCTCTCTCTGGAGAGCGCATGTACCCTATAGCAAAAATTTCTCTTAAAAAAAATAATAATTAGGGTAATTTAGGTTCCATGTATTTTCATTAAAAACTTTGCAAAAATACAAAAGTTCAGTTTACAAAGTACTTCAACATAACCTTAATTGATCAGTATCTGAAACTGTCATCTTATCACTTGCAGGAAAGATTATAGATAGCAACTTGGAACTTGTGTAAAGGTTCTAACTTACAAAAAGACTGAACGTAGGAAAAATACTAAGGAGCTTTCAAAAAATAAAATACCCAAGTACATAATAGCACCGACTACTATATGTATTTTAATAACTATTCTGCACTCCCCTCTGTAAGAGCTGAATCTCAATTCAGAGTATGAACGTACAAGGGCCAAATTTCTAGTCTTCTATTACTACTCCATATGTATATCCCCTGAGATACAAATGGGAGTTTGGTGTGTTCACTTTAAATCACAGGAGCTGGACACCCCTGCCACACACCTGGCCCGTTTCCTTCCCTAACAATGAGCAGATAGGCTAGCGAAGCAAAAGGAACCTGGAACTCTCATAACCATGGAGCTTCCTTAGAAGCAAGCCCCTGACAGCCTACTTTCAGACTCCATTTAGATGAGAGAGAATTGACTCCCACTTAGCTTAAGCAACTAAATTTGTTTATTTGTTTGTAATATGCTGCTAAACACAATTGTCCTGTGCATATGTTCCTGGCATATAAAAAGTTCTACACAACACAATTCATTTGGGCAGATGAAATGCATGAAAAATAAAAAAACTGTGAAGTGCAAAGGCTAAATAGTAAATGCGAAGTGGAGGTGATGAGTGCCAGGGTTCTGAGATAATAGTAATTACAAGGGGTAAGAGATAAAAAAAGGTCTGATGGAGAAGATACTTTCCCTTTGCATGAAATAATGGTCTAAGGTAGATAAGGAAAAGGAAAGCATTGTTATTAGCAAGAAGAAAAGTGTGAATAAAAAGGGGAAGTATATTTGAACTGCTCAAAGGAAAATGAAAATGTTTTCCTGTGAATAGACCATCGTTACTATAAGAACACTATATGAACCTTCTTTTCCCAACACTCTGATTGGGGAAGATAAATCTAATTTGACTCTCTAACACTAGAGAACTGAAGTTACAGATATGTGCTATCTTCCAATTCAGCTTTTAGCAGAAATAAAGCTGCTATTCTGATCTCTAATCTGACACTTATGTCTACCTTACAACTATATCTGAATTATGGAGCAAAATAAAGAAATGTTAATTACGAAGCCTCCCTGATTCTAATTATTATCAAGAAACTAAATTTTAACAATAAAGAAAAATCTACTATCCAGATACCTACAGGAAATTATAGTCTATAAAATTAGTAACTAAAAACAAAAAAAATTGAAAGTATAAAAACATGGAGAGCAATGGTGATACTAGAGAGTGTGGGAAAAGGATAGGAAACTGGGGAGGGTGAGAGGGAGGGAATTATGAGAAAAAGCAGCAAGACATTTTAGGGACCTAAAACTGGAAAATTATCTGTAGACAATAATGTATATGGTAATATCTTTGACTGAACCCATATACAGTATATCCATGATGAGAAAATTCATTTGGTATGCTGCAATGCTCCAGTCATTGATGGTAAAAATAAAAAACAAAACTAACTCACAATAGTAATATATCTTGTCTCTATACTATACTACTACTCAGGCTCAATTAGTACATACAAATTAGGTTACATTTTATAACCATCCCTACATTCAAAGAAATACAGCAAAACCTATTAAAAATAAAACAAAACACAAAAGATACCTTTGCTGTATACTGAAATATGTCCGCAATAATTTTCATTGATGGTTCTGGAGGAAAAATGTAAGTATTTCTGACCATAAACTCCTTTAGTATATCATTCTGGATTGTACCAGTAAGTTTCTCTTTAGGCACGCCTTGTTCTTCTCCAGTTACTATAAAAGTTGCAAGAACTGGAATAACAGCTCCATTCATGGTCATGGAAACTGACATTTTTTCTAAAGGAATTCCATCAAAAAGAATTTTGGTATCTTCCACAGTGTCAATAGCAACTCCAGCCATTCCAACATCACCACGAACTCGAGGATTGTCTGAATCATAGCCACGATGTGTTGCCAGATCAAAGGCAACTGATAATCCCTGCTGACCAGCTAAATATATAAAGAAAAATAATGTAACATTAAAAAGTCTGACATCAAAGTAAACTGACTTACTTTAATATTACTAAGAGTATTGATTCATGTCATCATGGTACACTGCTATAACATTATTTTTATGCTTACACATGTCAAAATAAATTTAAATATTCCTAAGAGAATCAAGTGTTTCCCATATGCTTAAAATGCACAAACTGAGTTTCAGGCCTTACTATAGGACTAGAAAGAACATAATATCTCACTTAACTCATATCACTCTGAGTATTTTTTTTTTTCAGATTTTTTTTTTAATCTTCACAATTCTTTTTTTTTAATTGCCAAAGGGTATGTGCACTTACCAAAGAGAGCAGGAGTGAGAAAGAGAACGCACTACCCCTAGGAGAGTATGGCTATGCCACAATTGTTTTTCTTCCATTCCTCCTTCCTGTCAGGATTTTGGGCATGCACATAGATGCAGGTGGCATGTTTTCCAAGACATTAGTGACTAGAATCTTGGTCAGTCACATGGCATCTGATTCACTTAACCACTGCATTATGGGGCTGACCTTCCTCGTAGTTCTTTTTATTTATCTTATTCACTTTTTTAATTGTCAAAGGGCATGTGCACTCTCTAGAGAGAAAGAGAAAGACAAGGGGTCCCTCCCAATGGGGCACAGTCCCACCCCAATCCCTTTTTCTTTATCCATCTTGTCAGAATTTTTGTCATGCATGCACATGAACTCAACATATTTTTCACATCATCAGGGCTAGAATTTGAATCCTAGTTGACCATGTGGGATCTGGGATTCCTTACAACCATTAGACTATGGAGCCATCCCCTTCTTCACAGTTCTTGATTGAAGTATTTCTTAAATTAATGAAAATGTCTGACTGTTCATATATGTTAACATAATTTAGATTTGCATGTGTACTTCCTTTTTCTTCTTTGTCTAACATGGCCATAGTGGGATGTATTGGTTGTTCAAATATCCTGGGAAACAGAACTACAAAATCCATATAAGATTTCTGAATAACTATAATAGTCTATACTAAATATAAGTTCACTCCTATACTGGGAATACAAACTTAAAAATCCTCAAGTTTAGCACTCACATAGTATGAATTTATTATAGAACAGAAAGAAGAAATAGTAGATAACATAATTTTCAGAGAATGAATGCTGAATTGTACTTTTATAGCACGTTACCCATCACTTCCCCTGAGCATCATGTAAACTATCTTCCCCCTCCAGTTCCTATTCTGGCAATGTCAATGAAAAGCTTGTTGAAGGTAAAGCCAATCTCTTTTCTTAACACAATTTGACCTCACCTAAGTCCTTTTACAGAATGTGTACATAATTGCTGTTTACTTTTAAAAATTTAGCACATTATTCTGATTCATTTGTTTTTGACAAAGGATGTTTTAAAATATCAATTTTTTTCAGAGTATTACCTTCAACTGCAAAATTATAAGGTGAATATTATCTTTACAGAGATTAACTAGTCTATCCTCAAAAAATTACAAGATTGGAGTCAGTAGATGGCACGGTGGTTAAGGTGCTGGACTCCCATATGGCAGTTGAAGCCTCAGACCCAGTGGCTTAAAAATCCCACCAGGCATGTGTACCTGCATGCCCAAAATCCCAAGAGGGGAATGGGGGAAAAGGGACTGCAGCATAGCCATCTATTCTGCAGAGTGATTGCTCACTTTCCCTCTCTCTCTCTCTCTCTCTCTCTCTCTCTCTCTCTCTCTGCCTACATTCAAAGAAATACAGCAAAACCTATTAAAAATAAAACAAAACACAAAAGATACCTTTGCTGTATACTGAAATATGTCCGCAATAATTTTCATTGATGGTTCTGGAGGAAAAATGTAAGTATTTCTGACCATAAACTCCTTTAGTATATCATTCTGGATTGTACCAGTAAGTTTCTCTTTAGGCACGCCTTGTTCTTCTCCAGTTACTATAAAAGTTGCAAGAACTGGAATAACAGCTCCATTCATGGTCATGGAAACTGACATTTTTTCTAAAGGAATTCCATCAAAAAGAATTTTGGTATCTTCCACAGTGTCAATAGCAACTCCAGCCATTCCAACATCACCACGAACTCGAGGATTGTCTGAATCATAGCCACGATGTGTTGCCAGATCAAAGGCAACTGATAATCCCTGCTGACCAGCTAAATATATAAAGAAAAATAATGTAACATTAAAAAGTCTGACATCAAAGTAAACTGACTTACTTTAATATTACTAAGAGTATTGATTCATGTCATCATGGTACACTGCTATAACATTATTTTTATGCTTACACATGTCAAAATAAATTTAAATATTCCTAAGAGAATCAAGTGTTTCCCATATGCTTAAAATGCACAAACTGAGTTTCAGGCCTTACTATAGGACTAGAAAGAACATAATATCTCACTTAACTCATATCACTCTGAGTATTTTTTTTTTTCAGATTTTTTTTTTAATCTTCACAATTCTTTTTTTTTAATCTTCACAATTCTTTTTTTTTAATTGCCAAAGGGTATGTGCACTTACCAAAGAGAGCAGGAGTGAGAAAGAGAACGCACTACCCCTAGGAGAGTATGGCTATGCCACAATTGTTTTTCTTCCATTCCTCCTTCCTGTCAGGATTTTGGGCATGCACATAGATGCAGGTGGCATGTTTTCCAAGACATTAGTGACTAGAATCTTGGTCAGTCACATGGCATCTGATTCACTTAACCACTGCATTATGGGGCTGACCTTCCTCGTAGTTCTTTTTATTTATCTTATTCACTTTTTTAATTGTCAAAGGGCATGTGCACTCTCTAGAGAGAAAGAGAAAGACAAGGGGTCCCTCCCAATGGGGCACAGTCCCACCCCAATCCCTTTTTCTTTATCCATCTTGTCAGAATTTTTGTCATGCATGCACATGAACTCAACATATTTTTCACATCATCAGGGCTAGAATTTGAATCCTAGTTGACCATGTGGGATCTGGGATTCCTTACAACCATTAGACTATGGAGCCATCCCCTTCTTCACAGTTCTTGATTGAAGTATTTCTTAAATTAATGAAAATGTCTGACTGTTCATATATGTTAACATAATTTAGATTTGCATGTGTACTTCCTTTTTCTTCTTTGTCTAACATGGCCATAGTGGGATGTATTGGTTGTTCAAATATCCTGGGAAACAGAACTACAAAATCCATATAAGATTTCTGAATAACTATAATAGTCTATACTAAATATAAGTTCACTCCTATACTGGGAATACAAACTTAAAAATCCTCAAGTTTAGCACTCACATAGTATGAATTTATTATAGAACAGAAAGAAGAAATAGTAGATAACATAATTTTCAGAGAATGAATGCTGAATTGTACTTTTATAGCACGTTACCCATCACTTCCCCTGAGCATCATGTAAACTATCTTCCCCCTCCAGTTCCTATTCTGGCAATGTCAATGAAAAGCTTGTTGAAGGTAAAGCCAATCTCTTTTCTTAACACAATTTGACCTCACCTAAGTCCTTTTACAGAATGTGTACATAATTGCTGTTTACTTTTAAAAATTTAGCACATTATTCTGATTCATTTGTTTTTGACAAAGGATGTTTTAAAATATCAATTTTTTTCAGAGTATTACCTTCAACTGCAAAATTATAAGGTGAATATTATCTTTACAGAGATTAACTAGTCTATCCTCAAAAAATTACAAGATTGGAGTCAGTAGATGGCACGGTGGTTAAGGTGCTGGACTCCCATATGGCAGTTGAAGCCTCAGACCCAGTGGCTTAAAAATCCCACCAGGCATGTGTACCTGCATGCCCAAAATCCCAAGAGGGGAATGGGGGAAAAGGGACTGCAGCATAGCCATCTATTCTGCAGAGTGATTGCTCACTTTCCCTCTCTCTCTCTCTCTCTCTCTCTCTCTCTCTCTCTCTCTGGTGTACACATGCACCTATGACAAAAACTTAAAAAAAAAAAAAAGGTGTATGTCTTTTTATAAATAAAATGTATCAGGCCAACTCTGTGGCCTAATAGTTAAAGTAGCTGTATTCTACACAGTTGACCACAGTTAGAATCTCAGCCCTGAAAGCTTGAAGAACACTATGAACGCAACACCTGTGCAAGCCCAGATTCCCAACAGTATGGAAAAATGGAGAAGGGATTATGGCAATGACCATGCCTTATTGGGGATGCTTCCTCCTTCTCTATTTCTCTTAAGCACCCTCTTGTAAATTTTTTAAAAATATACGTTTCACATTAAAATCTCACCCTTAATATTGTCTTTATAAAACTTATTACTTTCTTCCACAGTACTAAAGCCAGCATACTGGCGGATGGTCCAGGGCCTAAAGGTATACATGGTAGGATATGGTCCACGTGTAAATGGTTTCACCCCTGGAAGTTCTTCGGGTAAGTCCTTAGTGTCCCTCTTGGAATATAAGGGCTTTATGGAGATTCCTTCTGGGGTACGCCATATTAGTTCTTCTGGGTTTTTGCCTTTCAGTTGCTTTTTAGCCAGGGCAGCCCATTCTGGGTGAAGCGGTTGTTGCTGGTGTAGTAGTCGCTTCCATGTAAGCCTAGATCCTGATGACTCTTTTAGCTGATGCAGGTAATGGGGTGACAGTAAAAAAAGCTGATTCTTAGCCCTCAACATGGCAGCACATGGACACACCCAACAGGAACGAGAACTGACCTAGAAAAGGAAACACATTTAGAAAAAGGAGGAAAAATGGAAGCTATTGGTTAGAAGAGAAAAAAAGAAAGAAGAGGTTTATTAATTGGTTTATGTCTTCAAGGGTTTTCTTCCTATACCTAATTATAACTGTGGACCCACCTGTCAACAGTTACTATTTTTGCTTTAGTTCCATTCTTCTCCCTTGATAGCCTTTTAGCAAGTCTAACAGACCACAGTCTTAGCTCCTCTAATCCATTCTACATGCTGGCACCAAAGAAAATGTATGTCACATTCCCCAGAAAAATTTTCAAAGACTCATATGGAATATGCAACACAGCCTTCTAACTTTTTTTTCACTCAAAACACTTTTATTTAATACCTATTTTACGACAGAAATCGTGTTGGGTAATGGAGAAAAAAGTGGCAAAGAGGCATTCAAGTCTCCATGCCCCGGTCTCTGCTTACTTGTCAGGTTCATTTCTGTCTTTGTCCTCCACATATTTTGTGTTCTGATAATACTAGATGACCTACAATTCACTGCATATGCCAAAGTTTTGTGCATTTTCTCTTGCCCTTCATCTGCCTAGAATGTTCTTCTTTGGCTAATTCAGCTAAGGCATTATCTGGAATGTGCAGGATTTCTATGTGCCAGGCACACCGAAAATTCTAACCAATTTCTTACCTATCAATTTAGAGAAGTTAAAGTAACAACTGAAATCCTCATAACAGCTCCTATAAGTAAGTACTGATATTATCCCCATTTTACAGATTAGAAAACTGAGGCAGATAAGTGCCAGCATTTGAACAAAAGTAGCTGAGTTTCAAAATCACTGGTGTTATCCAATATGTTTATAGTTTCTGCCTGGACCCACAAACTGGGCTAAATGGGCTCTGGTAATTGACTTCTCTGCTAGTCTATAAACTACTCCAACACTAGAAATGCATATTCCTGATAAGTAACAGCACAGAGTCTTACACTAGGTGACTGGGTCCAGTTTCACCATTTTATAGATGCAGACATAAAGATGCAGAAAAATTTTTTAAAAAAGTGGCTTGATCAAAATCTCACACAACAAAGCAGTAATCTCTTCACTCAACTTACTAATTAACTTGTCAGAGTCATGGAGTTTCAACATATACAGCCTATTGGTTTAAGTCATTTTGAGATTTAAATTTTATTAATATGTTTATCATATCATATTGTTTTTGTATCTTTAAAGGTTTTTGCCATAGGGTACGTATGCTCACTAGAGAGAGAGAAACAGAGAGAGAGAGAAAGTGAAAAATCACCCCCCTTGAGGAGATGGAAACACCTCAATCCCTTCTTCTCCATTCTCCTTTTGGGATCTTAGGCACGCATGCATATGTGCCTGGCATGATTTTCAAGGCTCCCAGCTGGAGACTCAAACTGTCATCAGCCATGTTGGTGTCCAACAATTTAACCACTATATCATCTGCTGGCCCCCCCTACTGTTTTATATTACATAAGGTAAAAGTCAATGAGTTAAAAAGTTTATTTTGCATACAGTTTCTTACCTATCTATTTAGAGTAGCTTAAAAGAATATAAGACTATAATACCCACAACCAACAGAAGTGTAACGGGTTGCATTGCTAGACTCCCATGTAGTTGATGGAGTTTTGAGTCTTGGACCCCGTAGCTAAAAACTCAGGTTGGGTGCATGTGCATACGTGCCCAAAATCCCAAGAGGAGAATAGAGAAGAGATTGTAGTGTGGCCATCCCTCCGGGGGTGATTTCCTGCTTTCAGTCTCTCTGTCGAGCACACATGCCCTATGGAAAAAAATCTCTCTAAAAAATAAATAATGTAATACCCAAGACTTATTGGGTTGAAAATAAAAGAGCTATAAACCACTGGTGGGAGTATAACTGTTTTAACTACTTTGGTATTATATATTATATAATTTACTTATATATAATATATAATAATTTATTTTGTACATACATATATATATATATATATATATACACACACACACACACACACACACACACACACACATAAAGTCTCAGAAATGTTCATGTCATTCCTCTGAGGAACATCATTCTTGAGAAAGTTACTATAATAGAAAAAAGGTGTACCCCATACTAAGAAAAGTTCAACATCAGAACTTCTAACAACATAATAAGTGAATTATAATATACATAAAATGATAGTTTTAGATGTGGCTATTAAAATAGGTTTAGAATGGAAAATAATCTCTGATGTCAGAAGTCAGAAGAATAGTCACTTACTGTAGCTAATATAGAACAGGAGCAAGAGAGGAGCCTTTGGTATACTTGTCTTAATCTGAATGCCAATTATATTGACATATTCTGTCTGTGGAAATTTACCAACCTACAATTTGACATGGGCACTTTCTCTAAGTACATTGCATATAAGTAAAAAATTAAAACTATGCTAGGCATACCTTCTATACAAAGAGAACAGGCTCAAAAAGTATTAAGTAAAACAATCAGAGTACAAATTGTAAATATAATATGTCAAGATGGGTTAAAAGTGCATAGGAACAGGACCAGCAGTTGGCATATGGCTATGTCGCTGGACTCCCACGTAGCCAACCGTGGTTTGAGTCTCGGACCTAGGGGCTTTAACTCACGCTGGGTGTGTGTGCATGCATGTCCAAGATCCTGAGAGGAGAATGGAGGAGAGGGGATTGCAGTGTGGCCATCCCCCCTGAGGGGTGATTTCTCACTTTCTGTCTCTCTGTCTCTGTCTTTCTGGTGAGATCATGTGCGCTATAGCAAAAACCTCTCAAAAAAAAAAGTGCATAGGGAAAAGTCTAGACAGCAGTACAACAAAACCAACTTCTATTTTTTAAAACTGTTACGATTTTCATTCTTTTAAATTCACGGGGTCTTTGTCATCCATCTCTTTGTAAGCCATCCACTACAATTACTATCTTGAAAAGTGGTTGAAAAAAAATGATGAAGTTACAATGGAACTATTTCTATAGTAATTATATAAAAGATTATTTTTCCCAAGGTTTTTTCAGGGTGCATGCACCTGTTAGAGACAGAGAGGAAAAGTGAGAAATCACCCACTGGGGGGAATGGCCACACTGCATCCCTTCTTCTCCGTATCCTATTGAGATTTGGGGTACACACACCTGCCCAGCATGAAGTTCAAGCCAATGGGTCTAGTAGTACTCAAAACCCAGTAGGCCATGTGGGTGTCTAGCACCTAAACCACTATGCCACCTGCTGGTTCCTATAAAGGGTAATTTGAAAACTGCCTGAGACTAGATCGTCCACAATGAAATACCACCTGCAGTTCACACAAAAAAATCATAGAGCTTTATTAAACCCAGACAAATGATGGGGAAAAGCCCAGTTTAACAGCAACTACTTGAAAATGGCATGGCAAATTGGTGGAGGATAGAAATACACTCAACAACTGTTGATGGCAACAAGACTTCTGTATTTTCTCAGAAGGTACACTTAGAGGCATCATATATTCAAAAAGCCATGTGTAAAGTAAATATGTTAATGATGATTGAAGTGTATCAAAAAGGAATGATGAAGGTTATTCCCACAATTACAAAAAAATGAGAAAAAAAATTCTGAACTAAATTACTTTCAAGTTTTGACTGTTTACATGTGGTTCCACATTAATGCTTCAGGCAAGGCTAGCTCCTTCAATGTTTGGCCAAGTGGGGTTGGAACTAGGACATGCAGATTAATTTTTTTTTCAAGATATCAGATCTGCTATGTTGCCCAGGCTGCCCTGAACTCTCAGTCTTCCTACTGAGTAGCTGGCACTACAGGCACGCAGGGCCACACCTGCTCGAATTTAATTTAACATTAGCATAAATAAATCAATAAACACAAAAACAATAATTAGGAGAAAATCAAGTGGTTTAAAAGTTTACTCGCATATGCATTATCCAGGGCTTCCAGTTTCTGAAAGACTGCTTTTTTGTTCTAGACAAAACTAAGAACAAGTTCACACTTTTATGGCAATCTAGACCTGTCTTTCCTATTCCACCCCTCAACCCTAATTCCACATACACACAGGTCACTTTTAGTCCCGATACCTTTTACAAAAACCCGAACGATGATATAAACCGCAGCCTAGACAGGAGGCAGTCTTTGAGCCAGTACACCCCTCTGGGATCTTACAAGAAGTAACCTCTATCTACGGGAACAGTCGCGGAACGTGGGTGGCCCGAAAATATAGCAACATAGCTGCTGGAGTGTTAAACCACCTCTTCTCAGTGGAATCCTCGAGTTCCCAAGGACCTCGCCGACAAGGATAGTTCGAGAAGAGAATCTAAACCTAAGAATGAAGAGAGACTGGGATTCCGATACAGTACCGGTGTAAATCGGGAGGACGGAAAGGACAGATGAGGAGGGAAAACAGAGGCTCAAAGGACAGGGGTACAAGAGAGGAATCAGAAAAATGGAAGGATCCGAACGGCTGACGTGCCCCAAGGTCCACAGCCCTACTCACTGGGCACGCCTGTTTCGGGCTCCGCGGTAGAGGACAGTGGCTAGACTTCCAAAGCGACCCCACCTCCAGTAGACCGAGGCCCACACAGCTGGACCCGCACACTGCACAAGCGCAAACTAGAGTCGGAGGCGTCAGGGGGCGTCGGCCGACAACGCCCTCTCTCCAGCCAATCTAATTGCGCTTCTTCGGGCGCGTTCTGATTACGTCACGGACATGGTCATTTTGCCCGACACCAGCTACAGGCGTTTCCGCTTTCTTCCAGCCCACTTCCGGGTCTCCGCCACTTCTAATTGTTTGGGCGCGAGTTTTTCTAAAGGCTGGTCCCCGAAGAGTTCCAGAGGAATTATCCTGAATGGTGGAAGCGCGTAACTAGCTCGGCGGGTCCACGTTGCAGGGTGAGTATTGTGACCAGCGCGTTTCTAGCAAACTACGGTTTGCATTTGAGGAGCGCGAGGTCATTTTTCGTGGGGAGATGTCCGAAGTCAGAACAGAGCTGCCACCTGGGGCCGCTGTTTGAGGTGTTCGGTTCATCGGAAAGCAGTGAAGTCGCTCCTAATTCCTCTTTCCCCAGTCATCTTCATCCTCATTCCTGAATTTCTCCTGCCGCCCGTAGTGAGGCGAAGTGCAGTCTTAGAGATCAGTGTGCGTTTTGTTAGACATGGAGGCCTAGACTTCGATAGATTTCTAGACTTCCACGAGTTTCAGCAAGCTGGTAAAGGAAAGGAAGACTGTAGGATGCCTCCCTCCCTCTGACAGTTAGTAGTCTGGTTGCAAGCTACCGTTGCAGCCTTATTTCTTTCCACTCGTCCCATACACTTAAAGCCTCACTCCACTTTTCCGGTTCCTGAACACACCATTTTCTTTATACCTGTTCTGTCATCGGCTTTTGGCTGTATTTTTTTTTTCTTGAGTACTCCATTTTTCTTCCTTCTGGGTATTTCAAAACATTAACTCAAAATACTTTTTCTGTGATAACTGTAATATTCCCACACTTACAGATGAACCAATTTGAGATAGGCACTCACTTGTCTCTTATAGCATTTGCCACATTGTATACAGTAACTGTTTTCATATTTATCTCCACCCACGCCACTGCTAGGTTATGGTGTCCTGTGGGTCTAGGAACAGGACAGAATTTCTAGTGATTTCTGTATAAGCCACAACCATTCCAACAGTGTTAGAAATGATGGCTTTTGCTTGCATTCCTACTGTTCCTTACTCTTTGAGGCATGTTTTATATCCTATACTAAATTAGTTTAGCTTTACAGGCTTTTGGTGTTGGTACTTTTACTAACGCATTTTACCAGTGGGAAAACTGAATTAATTTACTTCCCCAAGGCTATACAGCTAGTTAAGTGGCAGAGTCAATCTGATCGGGAGTCTAGACAATTTATTATATTCTCTGACTTTTTCTTTTTTTTTTTTTGGAGAGGTTTTCGCTATAGGGTGCGTGCGCTCGCCAGAAAGACAGAGAGAGAGACATAGAGACAGAAAGCGAGAAATCACCCCCTAGAGGGGATGGTCATGCCGCAGTCCCTTCTCCATTCTCCTCTCGGGATCTTGGGCACGCACGTACACGCACCCGGTGTGACTTTTAAGCCATCGGGTCCGGGACTCGAACTCCGGTCGACTACATGGGAGTCCAGCGACATAGCCATTATGCTAACTGCTGGTTCCCTCCCTGACTTTTTCTTAACCACTGTGGCAGTGGTTCTCAACCTGGGATGATTTTGCCTCAGGTGACATTTGACATTGTCTGGAGACAGTTTGGTTGTCACTTCTCTGGGTAGGAGGATTTCTGTCATCTGATGAGTGGAAACCAGAGATGCAACTAAACATCCTTTGTACAGTGCATAAGGTAGCTTCCCACAACAAAGATTTATCCCATTCAAAATGTTAATAGTCCCAAGACTGAGAAATTTTCTGCACTCTAGTTTATTGCATAAAGTATTACCACAAACAGTACTTCTCAAGACTACGATAAAGGACCAATTTTTTTCTTTTTCTTTCTTCTCTTCTTCTTTTTTTTTTTTTTGGAAGAGGATTTTGCTATAGGGCATGTGCGCTCACCAGACAGACAGAGACAGAGAGACAGAAAGCGAGAAATCATCCCCCAGGGGGATGGCCACAATCCCTTCTCCTCCATTCTCCTCTCGGGATCTTGGGCATGCACGCACACATGCCTGGCGTGAGTTTAAGCCAGCAGGTCCAGAACGTGAACCATGGTTGACTACATGGTATTCAGCGACATAGCCATTATGCTAACTGCCGGTCCCTCTTTCTTTAAAAAAAAAAAAAAAAAACTACCAGAAGTCACATGTGCTTGGCAGAGAAAGAAAGCACCTCCCAATAGTGGTCATGCTGCAATTTCTTCTCCATTTCTCCATTCTGTTAGGTTTTGGGGTATGTGCACTCCCACCTGGCATGTTTTCCAGTCCTCCCAGGGCCAAGATTCAAACTGCAATTGGCCACGTATGACCTGGTTCTCTAACGATTAGGCTTTCGGACCAGCCCTGTTTTCCATTACTAACCAGCCACAACTGACACTTTTTAAAAATACAGTTAAAAATAAATAATTAGTCAAAGCTGTAGAAGAAGGATTTGGGGGGAAAGATGCATCAGTGTAGGTATATTAATTATAGCAAATGTACCTTTTAGATGTAGGATGTTGATACTCGAGAAGAGCAGTGGGAGTCGGGATCAGCAGGGGTATATGGGAACTCTATACTTTCTGTTCAGTTTTGCTATAAATCTAAAACTGCTCTGAGAAATAAAAGTTTTGGTTTTTTATTTTGTTGTTTTCTCGTTTTTGCTAGAGGGTGTACGCATTTGCAGGAGAGAGAATAAGACAGAGGAAAGTGAGAATACATCCTCCGGGGATTGGCCACACTTCACTCCCTTCTGCACTCTCTTCTCAGGATTTTGGGCAGGTATGCGCACACATGCAGCATATTTCTCAAGCTGCTGGGTCCTGGACTTGAGTCACATGGTCAGCCATGTGGGATCCAGCTGCCTCAACCACCATGCCACCAACTGACCCAAAATAAAGTATTTTTTAAAAAATTAGGAAAATGAGATTCAAAAGACAAGATCAGTATTATGATTAGATTCCAGATACATAAAATTACTTTCAGGTTACTCTTAAGGTTTCTAAATAATGAATCTAAAGTTGTGTACTTAAGATGATTATACCAAACTGTGTGTGAATCACATTTAGAGTAGCACTGAATCACGTTTTACTGAATAAAGAATATTTTTAAAACTTGGCAGAACCAGACTATAAATGAGTGCCAAATGAGAGAGATCGTTAGGACCCACAGACTTCTAGGGAGAAATGACATAAGTGGTTAGGAAAGCTTTGGGAAAGAAGTGGCTCATGATCTAAGAGGGTGGACAGAGGCAGGTGAGTAGACAGCCTAGGTAGAGGGTACAGTATGTGCATGGGAGGCAAATTACTCAGAATGTTCAGAAAACCAGATCTACTGAGAAAAGTTTCAGTTCAGGAGTGTAGAAAGAAGTGTGGAAAGCTAAGCAGAGCTAGATTGTTAATCACTGTAAATGGTATGGTAAAGGATTTGATTATAGGTATTGGGATGGGCCTTTTAGTCACTTATTTCATTCCAAAAATTGGATTTGGAAAGTACTTGGCAGGGCTGGATCATATGTTTTACCTTGCAGTGTCAGCAGCAACATCAGCTCAGGTACATGCAACATGATGGCAAGCTGCTGCTGTTAACCGAGAACGCAAGCCAAGGCTTTTTCTAGAGGTTTCAGTTCCTCTCTGTGTTGACTTTCTTCATATGCTGGTGACTGGGTCCAAGAGCAAGTATTTCCAATCAAGATGAAGTTGAAGGTGCCAGTCTCATCATGTCTAAGCCCATAATTTGGAACAGAATTATTTCTGCCACATTCTAGTGTTCAAATTACTGCAGAGTTAACCTAGATGTTAGACAAGTAGACATAGATCCTACCTCTCATTAACAATAGTGAGAAGGAATTTTGTACCATTTTAAATAAAATCTCTCTTCACTTGCCTCCTTACCTGGTTGTTCTTATTCATTGAACAATCCGAATTGCTCTACATATCAGCCTTTCCAGGAAGAGGTTCACAAATGAAACTCTGTCATAGGGTTGGGTTTTGTTTGTTTTCTAGTTTTTAAGTGCAGTAAATATGAGAGCGTGTATGTCAGGTTCAGGGAAGGAGGGACTTTAAAATTAAAATACAGGATAGAGACCGAGTATACAGTTAGATACCGTATTGTTTAAGAGAAAGGTAAGGTGATATTTTGGTTTCCACTGCTTTCTGTAATGGATCTGACATCATGTAGTCACTGTAGTTTGGGGTATTTCAACCAATTCCCACCTTTTTTTTTTTTTCTTGGAAAGTTTTAAAATTTGAGGGACCAGATTTGTCCATAACTCCCTTTATTGTCTAGCTCTAAATCTACCTGTATACAAACAGTCATATGATTGATTCTGAATGTATAGAATGGAATGGTGACTGATTATATATCTACTGTATATGCCTAGAAAAAAATGTACACACATACATGTATATTGGTGTATATATATTTTTATATAGTATTTAACTTTTGATTTGTCTATTCCCCATAATCTAATGTAAAAATAAATATCCCATTCCTCGATTCCTTTTACTTTTTTTTTTAATAGTAGAAAGTCTGTGTGCATATGCAAGAGAGAGAAAGTACCCATAGTAAGGTCTCATCTTGCTGAGATCCCCGTTTCCCAGCCCTCCAGCTCCGAATCCTGGATGCCAGGACATATACATCATGTTTTTCACCTCACAATCCAAACTGCAACTGCCATATGGCTTCTAGCCCTGTAAGGCACTCATGTTAGGCCCATGCCTCCTAACTGAGTCCCATTCCTCCATTCTTTTTGAACAGAAATAAGTTGGGTGATACAGGAATATTAGAAATGGTAATGCAGTTATTCTAAATCTTGACACTGACATCCCCATCCCCACTCCTTGAATAATCATTTTTAAATGATTATTTTCTTAGAGAAATTTTTGTTATAGGGCGTAAGCACACACCACTGAGACAGAGACGGCAAGCAAGAAATCACCCGCCAGGGGAGATGACCATGCTGCCTTCCCTTCCCCTCCTGTCTCCTCTTGGAATGCCTGATGTGAGTTTTAAGCCACTGGGTCCAGGACCCAAATCACAGTCAACTACGTGAGAGTCCAGTGATGTAACCATTATGCCATGTTCTGGCCACTAAAATGTTTTTCTAAAGCCCTATAAAAATAGAAGGAATTTCTAGCAATGAAATTGAGCTAGATATCCTTATTCCGATGACGGCCAAAGTTACTTATTCTTAAATATGTTTAAATGTTTTAAAAACAGACAATAGTATTCCCATACTTTTTTTTTTTTATTACTTTTTAAAAGGGGAATTTGGAACATTTATAGGTAGTTCTTTAAAAAAAAAAAAAAAAAACATTGTGCAAACCTTTAGTTTTTTTCTGTGTTCTTTAAATCCTTAACTTTTTTTTTTTTTTTTTTTTTTTTTTGCATGGTTAGAATTATTCTATTTAGGTCAAGATGCCTGGTAAAGCAAGTGCTTCCAAGAAAAAGTCTCAACAATTGAAACGAAATCCAAAAAAAAAAGCTGATGAAGAAGAAGTGGGATTTTCAGAGAAAGAGGTAAAGAACATATCAGGTTTATCATTTGGAACTCTGATTAGAAATATCATCTGTTTTATATAAAGAAAGGTATTTGAAGACTAAAGATCAGGTTTACTACAAATTATAGTAGCTCATATCATTGTGTGGGAGCTTTTGAAACATGATTTGTAGAGTTCTCAGGTAAAAATGATTGTTTCCTTCAGTTTGTAAAAATAAGCATTGACCATGGAATTCTTTGGGGCAAAGGGGGTCATGTGGCATTTCTAAGTATTTAAATGGGAAGACAAGGAACAGAGTATACAAATTCTTACAGCATTCATGTTAAAAGATAGGATTTATCATTTGACAGAAGAAATGTTTAACGTAGGGAAAAAATAGTTGGGGAGGAATTAGCTTCTTTCTGCCATTATTTTGCCCCTATCTTATGAATGAATAAATGAATTAATCAAAAAATTTTTCCATGTTTCACCCTGCTAATTAGGCAATGTCTGTATTTATTTTTCAGGTAAAGTATATAACGCTATTACAGACAAAGTGAGTAATGATTTATTTAAAACATTATTTTACATTGTGAATAATTCCATTATCAGCATTGTCTAAGAACTATGGTAAATATGTGCCCTTATTCCAGAAGTAGCAATGTACTCTTTTTCTACAAGAAGGTATATGAACACTCTTCTACATACATGACAAATCTATTGTAAAAGCCATATCTTTTTATCCGATGTTTAATTCAGTATGTCTGCACATATTTTTTCCTGTAGGTTAGAAACACAGCAAAACGAAATAAAAATCATCTAAAGCGTTTATCTTCGGAAGGTATTTCTTCTTTTACTTGTTTAACCTGTGTTTGTTCATGAAAAAATTTTAACATCCTGTGTATGAGTTTTGCAAAGGCAAAAGGTGTAATAAACAGCTGCATTGATCTTTTGGCAAGAATAGTGGGTACTAGTCAGTTGATTATTTTAGAAAACTAAAATTTGGGCAAAATGCTCCTATGCCACTAAGTAGGTGGGACCTAGTGAAAATGAAAGTGTCCTACTGTCTGAATTTGTAATAGTCTACAATATAAGACACATCTACTGATTTCCCTTGAAGACTAATATGCTTTCTGTTTTGCCATTGCTGAATTGATTAGTTTGGAACCACGAGCTAAGTCTTTGTTCGGAGTAGTTTGTCTTTGCTAAGACATCACTTCTCTGAGAGGACTGCCTGCCTGGAGTCACTCAAGACAAGTTTAGGTCTTTTGATTTTATTATTCCCTGGCACTTAGTACTTTTTTCTGTTGTAATGCTTTCCATACTTATAACTTGTTTAATATCCCCTCACTCCAAAAGTGATCTTAATGAGGATCAATACTGTATTTCCTTTATCCCTTATAAGTGAAACAGTAAATCAGTAAATATTGTTTGTGGTTTAGTGAGTCTGCTTTGTTGCAGTTTCCATCCAACATGTGGTAGAAATCTTTTTTTCTTTTCTTTTTTTTTTTTTTTTTTTTTTTTTTTAAGTCTTTGCCATAGAGCACTGTACTTGCCATAGAGAGATAGGGGGAAAGAAAGTGAAAGATCACTCCCCAGCAGGGATGGTCATACCACAATCCCTTCTCTAGTCTCCTTTCAAGATTTTGGGCACACATGCACTGTGCCCAGTGTGACTTTCAAGCCAGGGACTTCAACTGTAGTCGGCCATGTGGGAGTCCAGCACCTTAACCACTACACCACCTGCTAGCTCCAAGCATTGTTTTTTAGTCTTTTCAGTGAGGCTTTTAAGGAATTCAGGACATCTCTGAGAATAAGAGTTTTAATAAGAATAGCTTTGTCCTCTATTAGTAGTATTTTAGTTAGCAAAAATAGTATATCATATTCAGGTGGCATGTTATAGCTGCAATAAAATGAATTCAACAGTTTATATAGCTCTCTATAATTTCATACTCATAACTCCATAAACTTTTTAAAAGAATTGCTTTTTAAGTCAAAACACACAGACATCTTGATTGATTAGTCTCTTCTATTACCAGTGACAGGACAAACAGAGCATCTAAGACAGATAAAGATAACATCCAAGAAGAGAAAAACATGGCATTCTCTATCAAAGAGCACCAGAGAGCATTTGCTAGCTATTATTGAATCAGCAGTAATGTGAGTACAAAACATTTTCTTTTTACTCTTTTGGTTCCTATTTATGAGTTTCCAATAGAACCATTCTGAATATTACAATCTATTTTAAGATGATAGGGTATTTTTCTATTGGGTCATCGGAAAAGTCATGACACATTTTTGCATAGAAAAATATAGAAAAATTCATCATGACTTTTCTAATGACCCAATATTTTAGAAGTAGATTTACTCTCTTATGATGGCATTAGATTTCAGCAAAAAAGTCTTTGTTAATTTTGGAAAGTTGGGATTCCACCACTGAAATAAAAATCAAGTATATGTGGCCTGATTAGCTATCTATAAAATTTTAACTCGTTTTGGCCAACCAGTGTCCTGGAGGTTAAGGCACTGGCTCCCACATGACCAAGGGTGCAGTTAAAGTCCTAGACCTGATAGCTTAAGAAACACGCCAGGTATATGTATGCTGAAAATCCGCAAGGGGTAAATGGAGGAGAAATGATTGCTCTGTGACTCCCTCATAGAGAGTGCTGTCTCTCTCTCTGTGTGTATCTCTGTCTCTTTCTATCTAGTAAATTTTTCTTTCTTTTTTTTTTTTTCAAGGCAACTTGTTCTGTCAATAGGAGTTCTTAGGAAGAAGTTCACTTTAAAGTAATACTTCATGTGGAAGCTACCACATGAAGCTAGAGAGAATACAAAGAAAATAAAATAGAATTCTACCGTCACAGAGCCAAACTTCCATCAGAAGAGCCAGGCATGGGCTCAGTCATGGTGGCGCTTACTACTAAGACACTGCTCCACAGCTGGGAGCAGGCGGGGACCTGGATTTGATTCAAGTTAAATGTCAAGCTCAGCAGTGAAGGCCTATAATTCCAACCATCTGAGGTTAAGACAGGAAGATCATGAGCTTGAAACTGACCTAGGCAACACAGACCCTGCCTAAAAAGAGCCAGCTGTGGTGCTGCAACTCAACTGGGAGACTAAAGAGGATTTCAACGGGGAAATCCTGTCTTTTTGCAAAACAAGACAACCAGAGGGTGGTGTGGCAATTAAGACTTTGGCTCAGATATGGCCAGCTCCATGATTTGAATCCTGAACCCAGCAACTTGAAAAACACTCTGGGATTTGTGTATGCATGCCCAAAATCCCAAGATGAAAATGGAGGAGAGTGAATTGCAGTGTAGCCATTCCCCCAAGGGGTGATTTTTCAATATCCGTCTCTCTGTCTCTGGCAATAGGAAGCACCCTATGGCAAAAATCTAAAACAATAAAAGATAAGAAAGAGCCAGGCAGTTAATTGTTACAATACAGTGTGACTTAGGGAGGTTGGGGAGTGGGGACGACTCATTGTACCTCTGTTGAAAAGGTTTTTAAAATGTTTTTTTCATTTATTTTTTTTAATTTCTATTGCCTGAGGGCACATGCACTCAGTAACAGATGTAAAAGGAGGAGAAAGTACCTCCCCCGACAGGCATTGTCATGTTGCAATTCTGTCTTCCTTTATCCATCCTATTGGGATTTTAGGCATGCATACACATATGCCCATCATGTTTTTTTTATTTGTTTGTTTTTGTTTTTTGGGGAGAGGTTTTCGCTATAGGGCGCGTGTGCTCGCCAGACAGACACAGAGAGAGAGACAGAAAGCGAGAAATCACCCCCCAGGGGGGATGGTCATGCCGCAATCCCTTCTCCTCCATTCTTCTCTCGGGATCCTGGGCACACACACACACACACACGCCCGGCGTGAGTTTTAAGCCACCGGGTCCGGGAAGCGAACCGCGGTCGACTACGTGGGAGTCCATGGACATAGCCATTATGCTAACTGCTGGTTCCCAGCCCATCATGTTTTTTAAGCTGCTCGATGCAGTAGTTGAACCATATGGTTGGCCCTATGGGATCTGGTTTCTTTAATCACAGGGCCACTGACTGGTGAAAATGTTAGTAAAAAAAGAAAAGTGACACTTTGTTTGGCTAATGAGGAGAAGCACCTTAGAGAAATCAGAAAAAGTATATACCAATTATATTATTTGTGTTTCAAGCTAATAATTTATTCTACTTCTCTTTCTCTTTTAGAGCAGTTTTGAGTAACAGTATTAGAGAAAAAGAACAAATTCAGTATCATCTCAACTTCCTGAAAAAAAGGTAATACAGTTATGTTATTAAAAATGGATAAAACAGGAACCAGCAGATGGCGTAATGATTACATCGTTGGACTACCAAACAGTCAACCACAGTTTTAGTCCCAGATCTGGCAACCTAAACCTCACGCCGTGTGCGTGTGTATGTGTGCCCAAAATCTTGAGAGGAGACTGGAGAAGGGATTGCAGCGTGGTCATCCCCCAGGGTGGGGGGACACTTTCTGTCTCTCCATCTCTCTCTGTCTCTCTGGCAAACATATGCACCCTAGAGGAAAAAGAATGGTTAAAACAGGGCCAGCAGGTGGTGTGATGGTTAAAGCACCAGATGTTACATGGCCAACTGTGCACTTTGAGTCTCAGACCTGGTGTCCTGAAAAACACTCAAGGCACTTGTGCAAATGAGTATGTGCCCAATTTTCCAAGAGTGGAATGGAGAAGAAGGGATTTGACATAGCCATCTTCCTTAGGGAGTAATTTCTCACCTTCCCTCTTGGCAAGCACATAAACCCTATAGCAAAAAATTGGGGAGAAAAAAAATAAAAACTTAATTTTTGAAAATCTGACTTGTTTCTTAGGTTGCCAAAACAGACATATATGAAATCTAAATTTTGTTATTTTTTTTAAGATGAGAAATTTGTAAATGTGTGTTGGTTCTTCCCTAAACTCCTGCTATATGCATTTCTGAAATGAGTTTCAGCAAATCAGTAACAAATAATCTGAAAATCACAAAATGCCTGTTTCTATAGTTCACTCTTCTGTATTCTATAACAAGATATCTTGTCAATTTTACCTCCCTTCAATTTCTTTTTTAACAATTTGAAGTTAACATTTTACCACTCTTATCTATCTGATATTTATCCTATTGCTGTTTTTTTCCTTTACTTCATAGTGCATTAAATTATTTATACAAGCAACAAATGTAATTTTTTTAAGATATTCTTTTTCTCCATCATGTGACAAGTCACTAGTAGAGGTTTCTTTTCAAGTTTTTTAAAAGGATTATTTATTTGATTTTATTTATTCATTCATTTATTTAAATTTGACCAGAGAGAGACAGAGACAGAGAGAGGGAAGAAAAGTGAGAAAACAAGTCACCAAGTCCAGGACTCGAACCACGGTCACACATATGGGAGTGTCCAGCACCTTCAACACTACGCTACCTGCCATTTCCGTCTTTTCATGTGTTTTTAAAAATCACATCACTGCCCATGATTTTCTATGATTAATTTTCTGTAATATTAATACAGCCTTTTCTTTTTATAGAAGAATGTTGTACATGTCAGTTTCTGGTTTGTCAGGAAATGTTTGGGACCTAGGACTACTTTATTTTGGAGAAGTTATTTGAGCACAATTTCTATTTACTTTTTAAATATAATTCTCAGCACATACCAGCAAGATAGAAAGAGTAGGACTGGGTAATGTAGGTATAGGGCATAGGTAGGAGTTTGTTGAGAGCGGTTGATCAGAATAAAGACTACTGGAAATAGGCTTGTAGACTGCTTAAAGATATGACAGCCTAACACTACTAGAAGAAAGAAGATACCAAAAAGATGATAAATTAGGTAATTCAAATATGACAGGTTAGCTATTTAAAATCTTTTATTTTATTATTTTTTTTTTTTTTTGGTAAGGTTTTAGCTATAAGGTGCATGCACTCACCAGAAAGAGAGAGACAGAAAGCGAAAGCGAGAAATCACCCCCCAGGGGCGATGGCCACACTGCATTCCCTTCTCTCAGGATCTTGGGCACACATACACATGTTCCCGGCATGAGTTTTAAGCCACCAGGTCCAAGGCTCAAACCACAGTTGACTACATGGTAGTCCAGCGACACAGCCATTACGCCAACTGCTGGTCCCTAAATTTTTTTTTTTTTTTAAAGTTTCTTTTTTTAGGGTGCAAGTGCTCGCCAGAAAGACAGAGAGAGAGACAGAAAGCAAGAAAACACCCCCAGGGGGATGGCCACGTCACAATCCCGTCTCCATTCTTCTCTCAGAATCTTGGGCATGCAGTCACACACACCCAACCTCGGTTTAAGCCACCAGGTCTGGAACTCAAACTGCAGTCGACTACATGGGAGTCCAGTGACATAGCCATTATGCCAACTGCTGTTCCCAACTCTAGAATCTTTTTTAATGTAAGACAAATATTAATAGTTGAGCTTAGAGCATAGTAGCTGTTCAGTGATCACCCTAGATCATCAGAAAATATTAAATTATATGCAGCAGATAGTCTTTTCATCATATAGCATCTATGGACCAAGGCCAGCTGTTTTCTCCCCAATTTTACTTTCACAACTCACTTTCTTTAGTTCCCAAAGTAAGTACCCGAGAGACTTCTAATTGTCCTGAGACAGCAGAGCTGTGCCCAGAACTTGAACCACACAGTTTGACTATGTGGGATCCAGCCACCTTAACCTCCATCCCATCTGCTGTCCTTCTGAAGATTATTTTAATCTTTTGTTAATTCACTATATGGAAGGGTCATTCACTGTTGCAAATATTCTAGATTACCAGATCCAGAGGCTTGAAAATTGTGTCAGATGGGTGTACATTCATGCCCAAAATCCTGACAGGAGAATGGAGATGGGATTGTGGCTATGCACCAATGCTTTCTCACTTAGCCTGCCTCTGTCTCTCTCTCTCTCTCTCTGTCTAGTGAGTATCTGCAACCTATAGCAAAACTAAAAAGTAAAGATAAATTAATTAGTAAAATATAATGATCTTCATAAATTGAACTTTTACTTTAATTTAAAAAAAATAAAAAACATGTTGCTCTTAGATTTTTGAAAAAATGTTATTTGTCCTTAACTATGATTGCCTAATAATGGTTTTCTGGAAAACTGGAATTTCTAACAGTTTAAAGAGAATAATGATTTGTGGCATTTTGCTGCCTACTTTCTTTTACTCAAAAATTAAAATTTTTGAACAAGTCTTGAGTTTGACTTTTATATTATTAGGTAAAAGCAACCAAAAGTCCTTTTCCTCTTGAATTTCTTTTTATATAGTTCAAGAATCAAACACGAGAAAGCTATTTGCTCTCTGCTAAAAGTGAGAGGATAATGGGTTTCTTTCCACTGGTGATCCAATCAACCCAAATTCATAGGAGGATATTTTGTTTCAAGTTTAATATTGAATACCATTATGTTAATGATACTTTAGAGCAAAACACTTTAATTTTTTGTTGTTTTAGAGAGAAATATTTGCAATAGGGTACGTGCGCTCACCAGAGAGACAGAAAGTGAAAAACCGCCTCCCAGGGGGAGATGTGGCTACACTACAGTCCCTTCTCCTCTGTTCTCCTCTTGGAATCTTGGGCACACACACTCACATGTGCCTGGCATGGGTTTTAAGCCACTGGGTCCAGGACTCGAACTCTGGTGGACTACATAGAAGTCCAGCGACAACCATTATGCCACCTGCTGTACCTAGAGCAAAACACTTTAACTTTAGTCATTTATTTGCCTTGAGCTCTGTGGAGCTCAGTTTTCTTTGAAAATGAATGTAAAAATACCCTTTCATTAGTCATGTTTTCTGAAACAACTGAGAGATGGGAGTCAGGGTCGTGATTATGACTTCTAGACTAGCGTTCTCTCACTTGCCCAACAACCTACCATGACTGGTAAATGTATATACTGTAATAGTCTATAAAACATAGATATTTAAGAAAATTTTTACTTTAAAATTTATATAAATTGTGAAATATACGTAGAAAAACTTCATTTTACTAAATTGACCAGTAATTTGAGGTAAAATTTTAATTAATCAAGTGGTTAAATGAGGGCCAACAGGTAGAATGAAAGTTAAGGCTCTGGATCCCACATGGCCAGCTTCTCAGCTCAAGTCCTAGTCCCGGTGGCTTGAAAATCACACTGGGCACATGTATATGCATGTCCAAAATCGTGAGAGAAAAAAGGATCATGGCGTGGCTGACCCCCTGTGGGTGGTGATTTCTCACTTTCCCTCTCTCTTGTCTTTGGCAGACACACACGCACTATGGCAAAACCCTAAAAAAATAAAAAGCAAAAATTACACCAGGCACATGTGAATGTGTCATCAAAATACCAAGAGGATAATAGAGGAGAAGGGGTTGTGTCATGGCCATCTATGGACGGGGATTTCTCACTTTCCCTCTCTCTGACAAACACACAGTCCCTAAGCAAACCGTACCCTTCCCCTACTCCCCCCAAAAAATGATTTGTCAGGACTTCATAGGCAAACTTCCTGCCATAGTTAGTTACAGTTAAAAGAATGTTTTAACTCGGGCCAGACAGTGGTACAGTGATAACATACTAACTGGACCCACATTGGAAGGTCCTGGGTTCCCAAACCTCCCTGTACATGCTGGGAATACTCGTGCCAGTGATTGGAGTTAGCCAAGACCAGCGATGGGTTAGGGTGTGGAGACCCTGTCAGGGGTGCTTCTCTCTCTCTCTTTTTCTGTCTTTCTTTCTCATGGAGGAAATGGATCCTTTTTTTAAAAATGGGAAGGGAATGTTACAGCTTTTAGGAATAAGATGACAGGAAAAAAATGAGAACTGCTTCAAACCCAGACAAATGAAAATAATAATGATATTCAAAAATATATAACATAATTATGTTCTATTATATCTTTAAGATTGCTGCAACGGTGTGAAACCCTGAAAGTCCCTCCAAAAAAGCTGAAAGATTTAACTACTGTGTCAAGTCTACTGAAAATGGAAACAGTACAGAACAGAACTAATGAAGAAGGTCTGGCATTACTGCAGGTATGAAATTCAAGCAGTGATTTTACATAGACTTTGGGTAAAAAAGAAAGTGACCAGGACACTTTTTAAATTATTAGGTTAATCTTCCAATGATAAATACTAGGGGCCAGCCCCATAATGCAATGGTTAAAAGAGCCAAGTTCCACATGGCCAGCTACTGTTAGAATCTTGGTCCCAGTAGCTTGAAAAACATGCAAACACGTGTGTAAGCATGCCCATAATCCTAACAGGATGGAGAAATGGAGGAAAGGAATTGACCCTGTCCCATTGGGGAATGATTTATCTCTCTCTCTCTCTCTCTCTCTCCCATCTCTGTTTTTCCTCTGGCAAGTAAACATACCCTCTGGCATACTAGATCTTGGACCATGTTTTCATTAAATTATTTTTATTTACTCAAAGGTGTTTGAAAATGTGTATATGTAATAATGTGTTACAGTTTAACTCAATAATATCTTTAATTTAAAACTTTGGACCAGCCTTGCAATCTTGTGTTCAAAAGAGTAGGATTCCCACATGGCTTTCCACAGTTCAAATCCCAGCTCTGATGGCCTGAAAGACATGTTGGCAGCCTGGGAAATGCTACAAATCCCAACAGGATGGAGAAATAAAAGAAAAGGGATTGCATTTTGACCACGCCCCATTGTGGGACACTTTCTCCCTCTTTGTCTCTATTTGTCCAGCCCTTTAGCAATTAAAATATAAGTAAAACATTAATTTTTTTTCTGATTCAGGAAGAAACAGATAAAATAGTAGAGACCGTGGAGTCAGTAACTGGAAATATTCAGAGACTAAAGAACAAAATTCAAATTCTGACAAGTGAAGTGGAAGAAGAGGAGGAGAAGGTAAAACAGGTAATAATTATTTTTAAATGCATTGCTAGAATGTGGATATAATTTTTAATGCTTAAATTCTGCCCTGACAACTTTTGAATATAATGAGAGAAATGGGTGTTTGAAGTGATCTGTACCTTTCTTTCTACTTTAGATGTTTCATATGGATAGTAGTAGAGTACTGTCTCTTCCAGAACTTCCTCAGAACAGTCTCAAAGCACCCACACTTCAGGTAAGTACTCATTTACCATACTGGCTATGCCCCCGTTTTCCATTACATACATATAAAACATTGTATCATGTTTCCTTAAACAAATGGAATCCTGATATAAACTGACAAATTACTTTTCTTAGTTGACTATATGGTTTGAACATCGTTCCTTGTCAGCTCATATAGATCTCTCACTCTTGTCAATAGTTATGTAACATTCCATTGCATGGGTATACCATCATATAATTTGTAAATTACTGGTGGGAATAATTTTTGTATTACAGATAATGCTGTGTACATCATTGTACATAATTTATGCATGCATGTTTGTGTAGTCTTAATTGTGGGATACATTTCTTTTTTTTTTTTGGAGAGGTTTTCGCTATCGGGCGCGTGCACTCACCAGACAGACAGAGAGAGACAGAGAGACAGAAAGCAAGAAATCACCCCCCAGGGGGGATGGCCACGCCGCAATCCCTTCTCCTCCATTCTCCTCTCGGGATCTTGGGCACGCACACACATGCGCCCAGCATGAGTTTTAAGCCACCGGGTCCGGGATGCGAACTGCGGTCGACTACGTGGGAGTCCAGCGACATAGCCATTACGCTAACTGCTGGCCCCCATCTCAGATATTTTATCATTACTTTGTGCTGTACAAATTCGAAATTCATTCTGTTTTGAAGTACTCATTGAACTGTCAGTCACCACTGTTCCTAAACTGCAGTGGGCATGGCCCTCTATAACTCATTCTCCTGGTCTCCCTACACTCCTGTATCTTAACTAAGTTTTCCCAATACCCCTACCCCTCCCCTTTCCCAGCTAGTGTCACCATTGCACTCTCCTTTTCTATGCAATCTGATCTTTAGCCTCTAAAAGAATATTTTTACAGCTGATTTTGTTTACACTTCTAACAATGTTATGTAAGTCTTTTTAAATATAGCATTGTCTTACTTGTAGTATACTTCACTAGTAATTTATCTTTCTTTAAAGGACCCCAATAGATACTATAGTGCAATTTTTTTTTTTAATTTGCAAGGGAACATGTATGCTTCCCAGAGAGAGACAGAGAGAGCAATAGAGAGAGAAAGAGAGAGCGAGTGCAGGCAAGAGCACCTGCATCCCCCAGTGACATGTGGTCACACCACAATCCTTTCTCCATTTGCCCATCCTGCTGGGATTTGGGGAACACATGTGCATGCACCTGGCAAGTTTTTCAAGCTGCTAGGACTGGGATTTGAACCAGTCTAGGATTTGCACCAGGTCATCAGACATGTAGGACCTAGCTCCCTTAAGAACTAGGCCACGGGGCCAGCAGTTAGCGTAATGGCTATGTCGCTGGACTCCCATGTAGTCGACTGCGGTTTGCGTCCCAGACCCCGTGGCTTAAACTCACGCCAGGCACGTGTGCATGCGTGCCCAAGATCCCGAGAGGAGAATGGAGGAGAAGGGATTGCGGCGTGGCCATCCCCCCGGGGGGTGATTTCTCGCTTTCTGTCTCTCTGTCTCTTTCTGTCTGTCTGATGAGCGCACGCGCCCTATAGCAAAAACCTCTCAAAAAGAAAAAAAGAGAGAGAACTAGGCCACAAAGGCAACCCCTAGAGTATAAATAGTTATAGCAGTGGAAAGTTTTCCTGTTTTCTTGGAAAGTAATTTAAAATTTCTCTGTCTATAATTTACAAATGATAAAAGAAGCAGAAATGGGGTGAGGGAAGATATATCAGAATGAAGAATGGCCACTAGTTGACAATTACTGAGTTCAATGATAGGTACTTGAAGTTTATTATACTATTCTCTCTAAAGAATATGCATTTGACATTTCTCATAATAAAACATTAAAAACTAATTATACTGTCTTATCCACAGGAAGAAATTTTGACACTAATTCCAAACCATAACGCTCTTCTAAAAGACTTGGATGTTCTTCATAATTCATCACAGATGAAGAACTTACTAACATTCATCGAAGAAGCCTATAAGAAATTGGATGCCTCTTAAATAGTTTTTACATGTGTCCTATTAATTTAGTGTTTATGAATTTGTAACACTGTTAACCTCTGATGATAAAATAGAGGCTGAGACTTCTGCAAAATGTATTATCCCCCATAGTGCACTTTACCGTAGGTCTATTATTAATGTAGTCCTAAAAACTGTTTTTAGCAGTTGCCACATCTATGAAATCAACATTTATATTGCTCTACCTGCCATTATTTGCCTAAAACCACAAAATAAGAGTAGTTATGATCTAATAGTTTATAATGAAAGAAAGGAGCTCATTTATTAGTTAACACAGAGGAGTTATAAAGTATTTATGTATTGTGCCTAGTGCCTAAAAACATGTCTTTGCTCTTATTCATTCTTGAGTTGCTGGATGTACCTTCTGTCTAGTCATTTGTCTGGAACTTGAGAACTCCGCAAATGCCTTCACTCTTTCACCTAACTCCCTAGTCTCTTTATGAAATGGTTAAGATTTGTCAGGTATGCTTAAGTTTAGATATAACATCAACATTTTGTTTCTTTGGTTGGTGGTGAATAGATGTTGAATATTTATTTTTCACTGTCATCAAAGTGTATTTTTACTTCAGAAAATTATTTGAAAAGGAAACTAAGTACATTTATTGTGTTAAAACAAAAACTAATCAAAAAATCCTTCTTTATAAACTTCTCTTCATAATAGTTTTACATGTGAATAAATTGTCATTAAATGTATCAAAAATCATATCTAACCAACTGCAGAATATTGTATTGTTCCTTTTATCTGTTTGTAATACAATCACTGCAATTTAATTATTTTACATCTAACCTAGAATTTTTTGCTAATTAATTTAGACGATTCTACAGTTCTACTGATAGCCTACAGACAGAGATAGCCAGGAACACACTGTTAAACAATCAGGTTCAAAGCTTTTCAGACTGAAGGAAATCACACACCATGAGGACTCTGGAGCAGCTCAGTACAGGATAAAAAGCAATATCTGCTTAGGAAATAATAGTTAAGGAGGACCGTTCATGGATTTTAGAGGGAAATATTGTCTTCCAAGAAGGAAACCTGGGAAAGCAACTAAAAGTAAAAGATACTGCAAAATGTTTAAAAACTCTTCACTTTGAACTTTAAAGCTTGGGACCAGCAGCTGGCATGGTTGTTAAGGCACCAGACACTCTCACATGTCTGACCATGGTTCAAGCCCTAGACCTGGCAGCTTATTTTCTGAGTTTTTCTTTCTCTCTCTCTCTCATCAAAAAATAAATGAATTAATAAATAAAATTAAATAAATAATTCTTAAAAAAAGAACTGTAAAGCTTAAACTTTAAAGCTTAAAGTTCTTTTTTTGTAATTAACTACTAGAGCCCTAACTCTTTACTTTTTTAGCATTAATCATAACATTTATAGTGGGTTTTTTTATAGGAAAGGAGGAATTAAACTCATCCAGTTCCCTCAGGGCATCTATTTCACCTATTACTAAAAGTTAACCAGAATTGTACCTTTGTTAGAACTAAAGGTAAACAATATGATTTTAACATTGTTGCTGAGTAATTACTCTTCACCATTCCGAACTAGTCAGTCTATTTCCTTTTAGCTTTGAAATGTATATAATCTAACTCTAAGAGATCTACAGTATCTATGGCACACGTTAGATGACACACAACATCTGCAATATTTTCAAAAGATTGCGTTTTGTATACTCCTTGTGAAGAATTTAAAAGTTAACTACAGGCCCAAATGAACTTCAGCTACACACGTGTTTCCAGTAACTGGGAGCAGTTTTAGCATCCTTTGTTTTCCAGGTTCTCCCATGCACAGGTCATGCCAACAGGTCCTATGTGCCATTGTCAGAAACAGAACTAACCACACAATGTAGTGGCGGGGGGAGGGGGGCAGG